GCATGGCCAGAGGCATTTGCTTTGGGCCGTGGAAGACCCATGTTGAATCGGTGGGATTCGCATCAAGACCCATGGCTTGATTGGTTTGGGGGCTCGGCTCATCTACTCGGAAAGTTGAAGTCACTATATTACATCTGATCAGGAGAGCTTTCGGGGTTTCCGTTTCGGTCTGAGCCGTCTCCGTCGTCGAGCCGTCGAGGTGATGAAGAAAAGCCAGAGGATGGACTCGTTCAATGGAGGCACCAGGAACCTGGCGAAGATTGTGAGGTGACTTTTCTAAAACACTAACTTGTACAAGCCACATTCTTTTCTAGGGTCCAGCCCATGATATATGATATTTTATATATAACACTGTTTACTGCGACGGTGTTGCAGTCGGTGGTGCGAGACTCAGTGTGAAAAGCCACTGGGTGCATTGAACTTGGGCTCTAGGACGTGTCGGTTGCTATCTTGGCTGCCCCAAGATACGCATTGCAAGCCGGGTATTTGGCAGCCGACTCCTGCGAGGCTGCAAGAATGTAGTCTTCCTATGTCTTTGTTCGCTCCTCCTATGTCTTTGTCTGGACTTCGAAGAAGGTTCAGCTGAGGTTCAGTTCAGCTGCTCCCACTGGTTCCACATTGGTTCCAGAGTTTCAGCATGTCTTCCTTGACATCCTTGGCCCATCTGGCTCATTCAGGGCCCAGAACGGAGAGATGTTCGGAACTGCCGCGTATCTGACCGTCGGACGTTTTTGTCCCCGTCAGAGTGACGATGACATCACGAACGATCGCCTGGCGAATGGTTTTTGCACATGGGGTAAGCTAGAGAATGGAGAAGCTAGAGGTTGAGCTTTTTGCTATTAGTAGTAAGGCCAGGAGCCCCGAACGTAGCGTCCTTGCTCCTAGTAGCGATGCCCTTTGCTCCGTTCGTAGCTTCTTGTTCCTAGTAGTACGGCTAGGAGCCCCGATCGTAGCGTCCGAGCGCTCCTAGAAACAGGTTGAGACCGGAAAACATCACCTAAGTCGCTTCTTCACAACGAAGTGCCTCAGCTTCACAAGGATATTTAAGAGGTCACTGAAGTGACACATAGCCATGAACTCTGCACAACAAGATCCACCAAACCCAAACCGCTTTTCTTTTCAACCCGTTCCAAGAGACGGCCGGTCGCGAACCAATGCGACTCCACTCCATCTGATGGACCTGACCTGGGCAAGATGAGAACGGGAATCATGCATATGAAAATAACTGATAATAACAAGTGAAAGGAAATGTGAATAAACATATGATCAATAAATAACTATGATAATAAATATGAAAGGGAAGATGAATATGCATCATTGAAGATAGTGTATCATAGTGTGATATATATATATATATCAATAAGATATGTTCAAGTGTTGGCAACGGCCTCACCGAAGGCTTCTGTCTTTTTGACTTCTATGCGCCTTCACACAAGACTGGTCTTTGCGTCTTCATCGTTCCGCAGCGGAACTCGACTCGACAGGTCTGGTGGCTTCTCGCTCTTGAAGAAATCACGTTCTGCTGGAGCCATCCGCGTCCCCAGCTCAGAGACCTCCGGCCCCCGCCCGACGCGTTTACGCCGCGCGTCGGTCTTCGCGCGGCTGCTCCCGCGCGTCGCGCGACGCACCGCGTCGCGTGCGACGAGGCTCCGGAGATCGACACCAGCGTGCTGGAGGCGGGTTGGGGGGGGACCCCGGGTTGTTGGTGGTCCGGTGAGTTAGGGCGAACAAGGTCCGAACGGTGAAACTTTGAGGTTGTAGTTCAGGTGGATTCAGTGGCATGACCAATTCTGGTTGGTTCGGTTTTGTTAATATGGTCAAGCCCCTGCAAGAACCTGTCCAGAGTGACTGGGCAAAAAGGGAAGGTTCCACCCTGCGGTGCTTAGGGCAGGCTGAACGCCGGGGTCGGCGGATACACAAATCCATTACAAATCCACATGAACCATGTTTGTTCATATAATATACCAGGACACCCTAAGAGGTGTCTTATTGATAGCCCCTTGGAGGTGATTCGGGGTGTCCATTAACCATCCCGAGTCCTGGGTCCTGCATGGGTCAGGGCGTTGGGCGCTTCTACCCTCCCTTGGCGCAGAAGTCTGGATCTTGGCACGTGAGTTTAGGGCGGAAAAGGGTTCTGTTTGGAAGTCGGTGTCACCATGGTTTCAGTACACTCCTTGAATGCGGAAGTGGAATTCACCACCCACCTGTTTGGTAACCACACGATTCTGAACGGAGTTTTTGGTATGTTTTTTTTCCAATGACCTCACCAACCTAAGCCAAGCAGTTCTTTTCTCTATGTTCCAATCTCAGTAGTGTAGCTCAGACCGATCTGAGTGAGACGTCTCCGGCCCCGGATCAGTCGTGTAGTCTCACTTCGACGTGCCCCGTGGAGAGTGTGCAACAGATGAGAAACACAGCTAACCAGGCTGTGATTTGGTTCGTTTGGAAGACGTCCAGCGCGATTTTTTTTTTTACACCTCATGTCGAGTTTTGGAGAGAGAAAAGGTCATGATCATCCCAGGTATCTTCCAGGTTTTGAGGCTCTGTCTTTTGCGTGACGTATTTCTTTATCGCTGGTTTGTGCGAGGCATCAGAGAGCGAATTCACAGTTCTTGCCGATGTCGTCCAGAAGGAGTTGGATTTGGGAAGAACAATTTCTTTCCTCCCTGCCTTTCCAAGACCTAGTTGAAAGAAAGGTCAAGCTCTAAATGTCACCTAAAATCCTTAGCCAAACAGCAGGGCGCGGACATGCAAAACACCATGAAATTCATGGCAGGCCCGGACATGCATGAATTTCTACATCACATGGTCACAAAAACAGCTTCCCACCGGCCACGAAAGAAAGACCTCCTTTCTGGGTCACCAGCCGTGCGGTCTCAAACACCGACCGCCTGGTCTCAAACCACCAGTGCAAGGACCGAATCAGTTCGAACACGCGAGGCTTCTCAGGCGGGCATGGGATTGATTCGATGATTCGTTTCCGAGCGAAGTTTGGGGCATGGGACGGGCATCCAGCCGTTGGTATCTCCCATGCCCCAGCCGTTGCCAAAAGAAAGTGGATCTGAGACACTCCATAACATTGGCAACTCAATACACATAATACATATAAGGGTTGGTCTTCGGTCAACGTGTGTAAAGATTCCATGCATGGAGTGTTTGGGTATATACTGCATGCGCCTTCAATTTTCATCGACACACGCACGTTCCTAGGAGGTGGACATTGTTGAGAAGAGTTTCCAGTGGGTGCAGTTACCAATGTAATCCACCGAATCCATTCCATTGTATTCCATGGTGTGTGCGCTACCTCGAACAATCATCTTTGTAGAGGTCCAATCCAAGGCCATTCTCCCACATACTTCCAGTGCAGGATCTCAATGATCTCCATCACTTGCCCGTATTTGGGATCCCAGACTTGTGATATATAGATAGACGGGTGGGCCAACCACAACCAGCATGCACGTGGACAGAAGCGAAAGCCACATAGAACATGGCAAAGCCTGATGTGCAGAGATGGTAAGGTCAAGTGCAAAGATGCAAGGCCCACATGATATCAGCTGATCACAATATATAATATATATATATATAATATGTATAATTATTTATACCTTGATGAAGCTTTTTCCCGATTACGGTTGTCAGCACTCCTCCAGTTCCGATCGCTTTTGGCAAACAGCATGTTTTCATGGCCTGAAAGCTTCCCCTCTGAACAGCCCCATTTGCGCGTCCAAACTTCCTCTGCGCAAATGCTTGGACATGGGGACATGGGGGGAATTTTTCTGAGACCAAACCGACCAGACTCCACCGGTGGCGTCCGGTCCGAGGACCTCCGATGTGAGAATCCGACGGTTTTCTCGGTGGAGAGCCAGCGCTGATCGCTTTGTTCGTGCAGGAGAACCAGCGCCTTGGGCAGAGCAAATGGAAGCTTTCCAAAGTCTTGGAAGGCATTGAGGCTGGAAGTTCGGCATGTGGGGTGCCTGGAATCTCTGGAAAACGATGCACAGGAAGGAGGGAGGGTCAGTTGGATTTCACTTGGCAGAAGTGGAAGTAATGAAATGGTCCGTTTCCTCGGTACCAAAAGAACAACGGTTTTCTGGATTTTGACCGCTGAAAAACATCTCTGAAGATGTGTCAGCTCCGGCAGCTCCAGTGAATGTTTTGAGTGGTCAACATTGTACGCTTTTTAACGAATCTCATGTTTGGTGGGGTTCCCAACTCGACGTCAACACGTAGAAACAACGGGCCACGCAGAAAAACGGACCACCCCCGTAAGTTTTTTTTCTTCTATCCTCCCAAGTGAATTCAGAACTATAAGGGCTGTCACAAAATCCGTATACAACTTGCCAGTCTATGCAAGGCCAGAAAAGAATCCGTCTCTCTCTCTCTCTTTTTTCCCCGCTCGTCCTGCCTGCAGCATGCGACCACCGCCGCCCTGGAGCCGCTGGATGTGGGAGAGCACAGAGCTGCCAGAGCTGCGAGCATCGAGCGGTGCGACCGCGCGACGTGGGGACCCCTGTTGGGGGTGGTCCGTGCCCTGAGGTTGAGAAGCTCAAACAGCATGCCATGAAGGGACTCAGAGACAAGGCCAGATACTTGGGGAAGTTGTGGTAAAGCTGGCTGAACGTTTCTTGACTTGCTTGGTTTGAAGGACATCAGAGGAACTCAGAAGCTCTTGTGGTGATGTCATTACAGACCTCCTGGCAAAGTGCCAAGCAGCTGCATAGAACCCAGAAGCAATCCATTTTGTGGAAGCATGCACTCCACGCACTCTAAATGAAGGGATAAAGAAAAATACAGAATATATTATGATATATGACAAAATGAATCATCATCGGATATCATCGGATAATTTTGTGCTGCAAGGAAGCACAAACAACCAGGACCTTCCCAGTGACCGAACTTCAGGATTTGCAAGTGGCCTGAAATCAAGACCGACCGACCTGCCACTGGGATCTCAAATGGTCTCTGGGAAGGTCATGGTAACTTTCAGATCACATCAGATCATGTCTTTCCACCTTCTTTCCCTGCTGGCTCCCTGCTCAGCGCCGCAGGCCATCAACCGGATGAAGCTCCAAGGGGTCAGCAAGGACCAGCAGGAGGTGCAGATTCGAGAGCTGAAGCGCCCACGGCTGAAGGGCCAGAGTTGAAGCATTTCGGAAACGTCTCAACTGTTAAACAGATTGCAATGAATTTATTTTTTTTCATGGGACATGACCTTTGAGCCACCAGATCAACGACTTGGGATGCCTTGCCAGGTGATTCTGGAAGAAATGGATGCCTTGCTCCGCGAGCGATCGGAGAGCGCTAAGGTGCCAATCAATCCCAAACTCTATACCAGCACCTTCCAACAGGTCTCCTCTGGAGGGTTGTTAGGCCCTAAGAGGTTTCAATTGGTGACCTATTGGAGGTGCTGGTACATGTGGCATATTTAATCATATTTAATAATTATTTAGATACATTTGGGGTCGGGGTGGTTGATTTCAATGGAGTGGTAAATATGACCGAACTTCATCCCCTGGTTACTTTGGTCACAAACATGCCAGTAAAAGGTCACAAACAGGGACTCCTAAAAAGGCCACGTATGGAAGAAACTGGAGTTGATCACAGAGCTACAGATGCTGAAAAGTGTATTCATTCATTTGAATTGACATCACTGGAAATCCATGGGAAACCCTTGCGCGAAACCGTTCGCGACTTGGGACATCGCTTTCTTCCTAAATGAGAGAACTATAGCCGAAAAAGAAAACACACACACAGAAACGTAAGACTAAGTAAGACTCTTCATTTCGAGGCCAGCGCTGAGATGGAGTCCAACGAGTTCAGTACCGAGAACGTCCAGGCGTTGACCGAGAACCTCCGTCTCCGCGCGTTCTCCGTGCGTTCACGACGAGTTCACGTTCGCGTGCGCCTATGAAGCAGGCTTGGTTCCAGTGGGTGCCCAGTGGGTTTCACTGCTTCCATTGGAACCACTCAGATGCGGGTTTCACTGCCTTTCACTAGCGGGTTTCCATTTTCATGGTGCGCCAGTGGTTCCCATTGGTCTAGCCAAGTCGTGTTTTCTTCGTCGAACAAAAGCGGATCCGATCTCGCACCGTGCACCGGTCATCGCGGTCGTGACGGTCATGACGGTCGTTTCCGATCTGAAGTCGAACCAGTCGGGGTGGTGAAGAGGTTTTACCATGCTTTTACAATCCAAATGAGGGGAGGTTTATTGATGTCCACAGTTCACTGTTTCTGTTGCAGAACGTTTTCCCTCACCTCATGCCTAGACACTCCAAAAACACATATTATATCGTATTAATTACACACATTGGGGTGGTTTGAACGTAGGTAGATATGTCAGTCTCCCTGGAATGCTTGGCGCGTTGGAAGCTTCGACGATTCCCAGTGTTGATCATCAACACACCAGTTCACCTGCGCTTCTTTCAATGCAAGCAGTTGAACTTCGCTGTGGCAGTGCTATGGCAAAACGGGAACTGGAAGCTGGAACAGGTCGTGGAACAGCCTTCAGGAACAGGATGCCCTCGGATGATTGCTTCTATATACTGTCCGCTGATCATGGATTCCTGATACTTGGCCCATTGGGTTCCCGCCACAAGAAACAGTCAGGACGCAGGAGATTGATTGAATTATACGGAGAGCAGTTTCTCATGGTGCCTTTGTTCTTTTTGCATCCCGGAATCCCTGGACCCAACGACGCTTCTGGACCCAATTTCCACACACCCATTTTCCAGACAGAGAGAGAGACAATACACGCAGCCTCATTCATCGTGTGAGCACTCCAACCCCGTTTCGACTCACAGGGTTGTGCCGCTCAGCGCCAGGAAAGCGATCTTTTCAGAGTCCAAGAGGAGGCAGAGGCAGAGAGGGAATGCTCGGAAAAGCAGACTCAGAACTTCTACTCAGAACCCAGAGATCCATGAGATTCATATACATATAGATATATCTCTCTGATGTTTTTCTTCTCTGCGGCAAGGTATTCCCTTTTGTCATGATAAAATACATTTGCCTTACTTTAAGCATCCATCAGATCCGGCTGGTAATGGCCCCAAGAATGGCCAGCAACTGGTGGTGCCCCGCCAACAAGCAAGTTTTTTACTCCGAACAACCAACACTGGAATATACTGCAATATTTCTGGCCACAGTGAGCCATCTCGGAGTCACAGGTAAACCGGATTCCTTGCAGCGAAGAACTGCCGCGACGCACCACAGGAATCCGCTGAAATGGAAGACTCGCGAATGCAGGACCGACCTGCTGCCAAGCTGCCAAGCTAACAATTTAAGGGGAATGTTGAAATGTGAAGATTCCAATATATTTGTTTGGGGTCTACTGGTTGCGGTCCCACGGGTCCCTGTCTTGTAGTTGCCGGGTCCCTGTTTTATAAAAACATAAAACCCTCAGCCATGGGCCGCAAGAGTCACAAACCACTTCTCGACGTGTCCCCTTCGACGTGACCCGAAACCGCGCGGGTATACTTCTTCAGGAGTCGACGGAGCCAGCTCCATCAGACCTGCAGGACTTGTTTTTTTTTTTTTTTTTCGTTCGTCGGAGAACCGTGTGTTCCGGTGTGGAAAGAGAAAGCTGCATGTCTGCATGAACATCAAATGCATGATCATAAATACCTTCACCATATAGCTTTACATGTCATATGTCTATGCGGGATGTATCTGTTTGCTAACTACGCAGGTATATTATATCCATACCTGCTGTCACGTCAAGAGAAACTGATACCCTGCTTGTGGCGCCCCACCCTGCACGAAGAGATACTGATTGCTCTTTGGGCCTGCGCAGTCTATCTGTCGCATCGCCCAATCCCACTCGCGCGCGAGCGTGCTTCGGCCAGGAGGAGGATCCTGAGGTGGAGCCCTCTGATCCGATGGCCTGAACGCTCGTGTCACCCCCAAGCGAATCGCACCCTGTTTCACGCCGCGATCGATCGCGGGCGGGCGAAGCCGCCGGAAAGTAGTCAGATCGATCGATCGAAAGAAGGGTGGGCGAAGAGATCGGCACGATCGAGATGTTGCGTGTGAGTGATTTCAGTTTGCAGGTTCTATGTCCATGTCTTGATGGATTGTGGATCAAGCATTTAAGTTTAGGAAATTACTGTGTACATAGTGTACATAACAATCACTGGCTTGGGCCAGAGGAAACTAGTCAGCCATGGCCGAGGGTGTTGAAGATATATTCGGCCGGGGACCTTTGCTTGTAGACAAGTCTGGTGTTTTGAGAGTGATTTCCAAGCCCTACAACTGCACCTGCGGAATGGACACTCTATACTGTTACTGCGTATAGATGAACGCCCAGTGATGCCATCATAATGCCCGGTAAACTGTTTTCTTGTTTTGTGTTATTTTCCGTGTCATTTTGACACACTTCGCTCCTTTTCTGAGCGAAGTTCTTGTTTCTTCCTCATTGGCCTTCAGGCTACAACCGAGGGAACTTCATGTTTGACCAGAAGTTGCGCCAATGGTGTGGGCCCGTGGCGACTTCATGTTGTTTCTGCCTCCTCCCTATGCAGTGAAGTGGACCCTGTGAGGCGAGAGTATCAAGAGCAGAACATGCGGGTCAAGCAGTTCATGCTCTACCGCGAGGATGCGTCATGCGTCATGCCGATGTAGAGGTTTGAGGTCTGATGTATAGGATCAAGACAAAGCCGATGTATCAGGACAACGTTGCGCCCAGTAAAGCAGCTGATGCATTTCGTTCGGCATCCTGATGCACCATCTCAGGCATCTCTCTTGATATCTCAGGGCGAAAACCCAACATTAGCTCATGGCATCTCGAAATCAAACCGCTCCATACAGCTCCTGGCCCGGCGCCAACGGCCTTCAGGACATGCGGGACTTAACGGAACTGACGATCAGCAAGTGGGAAGCTTACCGATCCACGGCGGATCCCGACCCGCACCATCCACGACACGTCGGTGGCGACGGAATGCGACGGACGGACGAGACAGGGGACGAGACCGGACGCATGTTCCAGCCCACCCCGAGGATGGATAGCTATTTGATGATTGCAGTGCTAGAACTTGGATGCTGTCACTTGGCGCACGAAGAACCAGAGACGATGCTTGCTTCTCTCCGGCTGAGTTCGGAGATGCACACGAGCCAAGGTGCATGCCGGTATGTTTTTTTGGCGTTAGTCCGCGTGCACGAACGGCACAAACTAGCAGCATTTAGCAGCATCCAGTGCAGACTTGCAGCAACATTTCGTTGTGTATGTTCTGCCTCCCTGTGACTAGCTCCATATTGAAAATGCGGTGGATGGAGCTACCAGCTCCCTTTGGGAAGATGTTGACGTTTTTGCGGGCAGACGATCAACTTTGCCACAGCATGTCAAAGTTTATACTTAAATAAATATATGTATATAATATATATATATATATTATAGTCACTAATTACTGTTGGTACACACACATCCACACAAATTTGCAAGTGGAAGTTCGACCCACTTGGGAGAAAAAGCTGGTGGCCAATGCTGGGTCTGAGGTCTCGATCTGTTGGTGCATGGAGTGCTGCACATCCATTCAGTGCAAAGTGCCAGCGACCGCGTGACCGCGTGAGTGCGGAGTTGCAATCGCTTCAGCAAAAACCAAGCTGTATAGTTGGTTTCAAGATGCGTTGGTTTCAAGCACAGAACTTATACAGTTCACTTGGTTATACAGTTCACTTGGGTTTTTGTCTTGCTTTCAAACCCTTCAACAAGACCTCTGGTTACTCCTACTTCCCCGGGACGGGACGTGTATGTTTGTGGTGTGCCGTGACGTGGACGGCCGTGACGGGCTGCCAATCGATTCAAGCCAGGTGAACCGAGTTGGAATCTGTGGCTCTATGTGATCAGCCAGAGACTCACTGCACGGCGCGGGGGTTCGATCTTCGGACCATCGGATGCATGGCACCACCATGTGACACCCGGACGGCGGCATGTGGAGCGACCGGTGCGGAGAGGGAGGGAGGGAGGGAGGGAGGGAGGGAGGGAAGATCATAGCAAAGAAGCCGTCCGACCACAGAGGTCCTTTCGAATCTTTGGACCAAGTAAAACACTTGGTCCGATGGACCTGTAGGGCCTGTAGGGTTTCATGGAACCAATGCCCACCAAAGACGGACTTGGTAGCTGATTTGCTCGTGGGCCCGGTGCTAGGGCCCTTGGTCTAGAAGTTAGCGCCGGGCCAAGATACAGGACTGGATACCTGTTTTTTCCCTAATGGCAAAGGCAGGTCGAAGGATGATTGTAACAAATGAAAGGTGGCAACAAAAATGAACACATGGAACATCAAATGAAACTCAAATGAACACATGTGACTGCTGTTTAGTCCCATCCAGTGAGTGGAGTGGATCATGGGCACCCAACTCCTACCTCCACGGATAGCACCCCGTCGAACGTGACTGCTGGTAGACAATCATGAAACATCACATGTACCTCCCAGACGCTCCATGGGACTGCCATAGGACTGCCGATCAGTTCTGGTGGTGCCAGAGGGGTCAATGTATATCCCTGAGAGTCAAAGACTATAAAAAGAATGGTCTTTAGGTGACCCGAAAAGGAATTTCCTTTACTTCAGTCGGTCAAAATATAGTCTTTGGACTTCTAGGGTATATGGCAGTCCCATGGAGCGTCTGGGGTAGGCCTGCTACTTCGCTTGCCGAACCCGGACCGGACCTTCGGCCAAGGCTTGGCGGAGGCGGCGTGGGCGATCCTCGCGCGCGGATCGCGGCGACCCAGAGTTGGTGAGTGGGGGTATGAGCCAGTCCGATTGATGAAGATCGCCGGGTCTGAAGAGGCTGAAGCAATCCATTCTGGTTGGTTGCTTCATCACATTCGTTCACACTGGTTCAAAACCGCCAGTCATGGCCGGAACAGTTCGGGTAGGGCGTCGCCTCGCTTCTGTTCGTGTGTTCAACGGGTTTTCACCCCAAAACAGACGTTCGAACATCGCCCTGCCCGCCGCTCGAACACCCCCCTGCTAACTGTTTGCAGCCTCACCATGCCTCACCCTCCCCTCCCTGTTTCATCAGCGAGGGCCAAACTCTTCGGAAGCGCCAGGCGTTTGTCTTCCTTTTTCTCAGCGCCTGGCTGGCGATTCATGCCTCCGTCGGAGAGCCCAAATTCAGAAGCCGAGGGAGGGCGCTGAATGGGGAGGGAATAGGTTCAAAAGCCGATGGCCTTCAGTTCACAGAAGAATGGATCGTTCTCTGGTGGTTCTTCGTTTTGTGTTTCTATCGACATATCGATACGGATCGTTTGAGTCTGCATGACCTTCTAAACGCACGTTCAGACCCCCCGCCACATCGTAGAAAGCTCTTGAGTCATTTGAGTCGGTGAATGTTAATTGGTCAATAGCTCACCTTCAACGGCCTGACATCCGTCACATGTTGCTGAGTTGCTGAGTTTCCTCAGGTGTCAGCGCACTCCTTCGAAGTGAGGCGTGTCAATGGGCTGATCCATCGATGTTTTCATCCAAAAGCAGCTGAGTTGTCTCATGTTGTCTCCGATTCGTTTTTCTCGGGTTTCAAGTGATCCAAGACTCAAGACGTCGGCCGATGCTGCACTGAGCGACGAAATGCGACCACTCTGACTCGCCCTCTGTGTGGGCTGAGATACATGCCTGGCCCTCTGTCTTGATCTAAAAGAACATGCACCCCCTGCAACTAACATGGAAGTGGGAATCCCATGGAATCCCCCTATTTGTAGAGGATTGAACATGGAAGACCCAAGGAACCATGCACTTTCCACTTCCACGTTCGGGAGTGGAAAGCCGCAGAGCAGCTCAGGATGCCGCAGGTGAAACCGACTGACAGGTCGCTCCACTGACAGGGTGCAGCTCCTCATAGGTCAGACTGCCTTTTTGTTCGACCTCATAGGGGGTTGTCGGAAGGAGGGAGGGAGTCATTCCCCCCTTCCGCCCCCCCCCGGAACCGCACGATAGCATCCATGAATGGATCCATTCTGCCCTTGAATCAGCAACAGTCAGCTGGACATGCATGAGTTCTCCGGGGAGAACTCTCCTCAATGGATTAGTGATGGCTTTCATTCAATTTTGACCTCTGAAGCGAAGCACGTGCTCTGTGCACGAACATGCTGTAGATTGAGGGGATGAAGGCGTTCTCGCTTCGAGCAACGCTGGCTGATGCCATCTGATGTGAATGACTTGTACCTCGTATTGGACACGGTAGCAGCAACTAGGTTGACCATGTCCAGCAGTATCCAGCAGTCTTTTTAGTTCATTGACCTCCCTGATAGGCCAGGGTCCCCAGCTTTTTGCATGCTACCTGCAGTGTTTCCTTGTGATATGTCAGGTTGCTCACACAGTTTGTCCGTTTGCCGGTGCCTAGCAGTCAGTGTGAAGCTGAGCACACCGGATTCCTCCGGAGCTCGCGGATTCGTGTGGAGAGACGTGGGATGGCCGGTTAGTTGAAGGGTAGGCCGGTTAGGGTGACAAGGCCTACCCTTCAACTAACTGGCCGGTTAACTACCTAACTGGCCGCTTAGGTTGGTATGCCTTGTCCGGTTAGGATTGTTTAGATCATTTTTAGTAGAATTTTAGTACCCAGACGCTCCATGGGACTGCCATATATGCCGATCAGTTGGGGTCAATGTAGGCATATACGGCATACATGGAGCGTCTGGGGTATATTCTAGTTGGCCATAAGAACGCCTGTGCCGGCTGTGCACACGACTGAGGCATCTGACAGTCGGCATTCGATGTAGTTATATATTTCTCGAGCTTTTCGATGACCTCTAGGCAGCTTGATGCTGGCTCTGCTGCCGGCACGGATTATGAGAACTTGGGGATCGAGGACCGTGGCAAGCTGTCAACGTCATTTCAAGGCAAAATGATCTGGTTAAAGCCTGATTGATTGACAGTTTGCAATGTAGTGACATACATGTTCACCCACATTGGAGGCATGAGGGCACAAGAACCCTCCTCCACTGCCACGGCCACTTGAGCTCAAGCTTTTTTCAATAAGCGCCAAACGTGTGACCCGCGCGTTCGTTTCAAGCACTTGCTGAAATCTTTGCCGTCAGCAATGGCCAAGGATCAGGTTGATGATTCCATGCCCCTTGAGGAACGAGAAGCTACTGAGATGCAGCCTGTGATGATGGAGGAGGAGACCGCGTCCGTTGTGGACACTGAGCCACACCCGGACTCCATGGTCTCCGACTTAGAAAAGGAGTTGGAACAAGCCACCGGCAAATCTCAGGAAGGGGGCGATGGATTCGGTGAGTCCATGCGGCTTGTCAAGCTGTCCACCACGGAAGTGAATGTCTTGCGACAATCCTTCGACATGCTCTTGCAAGCCTTGGGAAGCCCGGAAGAAGCGAAGCAGGTGATGCTTTATTTTATCTGTTTTCCCTATGGTTATATCATGTTATATAAATCCCCAAACCTGGGGAATATGGTTTCTTTCTTCCAGGTTCCTCGAACTCCCCCCGCTCCCAGGAAATGACCGTGAAGCCGTGGGCGATGCCATCTACGGCACGAAGATCGGTGCATTGGTCGCGATTAAGGACAGCTTCACAACTCCGAGAGCGGTTGTGTCCTTGCGCTTCTTCAACTGTTTTCGGCTTTTGCTGGAAAAGGCAGAGGATACGGAGGAGATGAGGATCTACGTCGAGACTTTGGCCTTTAAGCACTTGAACACCGAGATCACCGAGCAGCGCGTGGAGGCGGTGATCGGGGCCTATCTGGAGCTGCTCACCATCAACGTGCCCAACCTGCCACCGGGAACGCCGGCCGCCTGGCGAAACCTCTTGAGCTACTGCGGCTCGTGCTACCGCTTTGTGGGAGACACCTATGGCGAGCGCTTGCGCGTCATCAAGGAAGATGTGGTGGTTTCGGATATTTATGTTCTAATGTTCCTTTATTTTCCGACCTTTTAAACTGTAATTAGGATGATTGACTTCACTGTCTAATAGTTTTCAAGTCAACCGGAGGAAGATTGGCAAGTGGTGCAGCAGGCGTCCAAGCACGAAAGTGAGAAGGCCTCCAACAACGGGGAGGAAGGTGAAGGCGGTGAAGGCGGTGAAGGCGGCGAGGAGGACACGAAAGACGACTCCGCCGAGACCTTCAGCTTTGGCCGCATGTGCGCCTTCAGTAACGAGGTCATGGGACAGAAGACTGAAGGCTGGATGCTGGAGCTTCTACAAGTCTTTGATATCCTGGTGGAGATGATTTCTAGCCCTGTCCACTTGCAAGAGGAGTGCGACTTGCTGGCGATCAACTTGATCACCAAGTCTTCCTCCATCGACTTCGAGAAGTTCAAACCGGTGATGTTGGCGGCCTTGCGATCTTTGCTTCCCAAGCAGTGGAGCACTTTGCACGAGACTGCCTGGGAGTGGCTCTGGATGACGGTGGCCCGGAATTTGAATGAGTCCACCATGAAGGTTCGTGCCTTTAAGCCCTACAATGGCAAGCTGTTCTCCCAATTGCGGGAGGATCAATTGGATCGATTTCGGTCAGACATCTTCACAGAGTTCTTCGCCCGGAGCCAAGCCTCACAAGATCTCTTCAAACAGTCGCAGAGCCGGCTGCGCTACATCGCCGATCGTGTCCTGCAGAGCTCCTATGACATGTTCCACAAGAACAAAGATGAGACGCTGGATGAACTTTCGGCTTTGGGTTTACGCCATGTAGGCTATGGCATCCCCATCGAGCTGTTTGGCCCCTTCGTGGATGTGTGCGTGAGCGTGATGCATCCCTTAATCCAAGAGTTTCCATGTGAAAATGAAAGCACCAAGTTGATTTGGTGCCCCAAGGACAAGGCACACCAGTTGCAAGAGAAGGAGATGCCGGAACACATGATGATTGAGGGCTTCCGATGGTCCATTGGTTTGACCGCCAGGGTTCTGGTGCGAACCATTATGGACGGCTCCACCGCTGTCATGCAAGCAATCCACTTCGACGACTCCAAGCGCTTGCGGCGAGCGCTGTTGGATGCACCACGCGTGGAGCGCTTCGTGTGGCAACTGTCCGTGCAAGTGGGGAGCCAATCCATCTCTCCCCTCTTTTGGGCTTCCTGGTCCTGGTTCTTGAATTTTGAGGTGATTTTTTGTTTGATGCCCAGTTCATTGGGTGAATCCATGTGAATCCATATGCTGAGTCCCAACCGAGGAGTCCGAGGTTTTGATTCGGAGCCGCGTCGAAAACGAACGGGAACCGCCCTCCCAAGGCTTTGAAGAGCGGTGCTCACGACACAGCCAAGACCATGATCCAAGACGTGCTGACCATCCGAGCCGATCGGGATCACTACTACTTTGGTGCGGATGAGCCCTGGCGCATTGCGCGGAGTTCTCTTCTTCATATGTTTATTTGTACTATATTTTAAACACGTATTTTCTCGAACTAGTGAACTCCCCTGGCATGAGGAATATGTGTTCTTTTTGTGTTCCAGGGCAGCTCAGCAAATCCAAGGAGCTCTTCAGGTTTCAGCCTAACATTGCGGACAACATCCTACGGGAGGCACCCTTCTTGGCCGAGACCTTGCTGGATGGGCTGATTTGGCGCTCCCACAAGAGCAAGGACAACTTGAGGCCGGTGATCTACTATTTGAAGCACTTGCTTCAAGACATGGATGAAGAGCAGATGTTGTCCCGAGCTTTGATCAGCTATATCCGCTTCAACCACCCCAAGACCATTATGCATCCGATCTTGACCTTCTCCTTGGACTTGCTTTGGGAGAAGTTGGCCAAGCGCTTCTTCTTGATGGACCGGGTGCTGACGATGATCAACTGCGTGATCTTTCTCTTGGCCGCATGCCTGTTGGACCACGACAACAGTCCGCAGGTGATTGAGTCATATTGAGAATGGTTTTTCATGTTTTCAACAATGTTTTTTTCCATTTACCAGATTTTACCGGTGGGTCTCCACATGGGGTCTCCATGGGGTCTCCATGGGCCATCATGGGGTTTTTGATACGTTTTGATGGGGTCTCTTTCTGATTCTTTCTGTTTGAGCCGATTGCCAGGTCGTGGCGGGCTTCCGAGTTCTGGTCTATACCATTGGCTTTGGCCGATTGCTCTACTGGCACTGCTGCCAGTTCTACAACGGCTACCGCCACGGAGCTGTGACCAAGCTCGCCTGTTTCAAGTTCCCTTCCTACCTTTTCAGGACCTCTGACTTGCTGAGCTTCTGCTTGATGTGCGACCTTCTGGCTACCGCCACTGTGGAACCCATGTTCCACTGCCTTGGACAGACTGAGCATGTGATCGCATTCCACTGTGATCAATGGACCGATACCATGAACCTCCTCCATGAAATCTTTGTGCTCACAGGCGTCTTCCTGTATGTGATTTTAATCGTGGAGGTTGGAAGCATCTCGGTGAAGCTCTCCGAGTACCGCGTCTTGTGCATCCATGCCATCGAACAGGTCCTGCTTTGCTTTGGCGTGGTCTTGCTGACGATCTTGACCTTCTCCTTTGCGGTCAGCGGCATGACGCGCGAGATCCAGGCCATTTCCAACACCGAATGGGCCGACATCGGAGCGTCCATGAGCACCTTCATCCGCATGGCCTTTGGAGCCATGGACCTAGCTCCCATCCAGACGGTCGCAGCCGAGAGCCCGTTGCTGATCGTGGTGATCGTGCTTTTCATGATGTTGGTCTACACCTTCTTTTTCAATCTCCTGGTGTCGCAATTCTGTGGGGTGTACACTTCACTGGCGGCAGACATCAAAGGCCACGCTAGGCTTGCTCGCGGTGAGATCATCATCGAAACGTTCAAGAATGTGCGATTGTCACGGTGGCAAAGGTTCATGACTTCCCTGAACTTGGACAGCAAGGTAGACTTTGAGGAAGGTGAGCGGTCCAAAGCCTTGGCGTTCATATGGTGTTCATATGGTTATTAAAGTTCAACGTGTGCAATTATACGCAACAGTGATGAATCGTGTGTTTGCGTGAGCGACGCCTAAGAACTCGCTTACTTGGATCTTACTTACTTTATCTTTTTTGCAGACTCCTTACAAGCCTTCGCTCCAACAAACATGACCTGAAACAAAAGAAGACCCCCATCAACAGAAACAAAAGAAGACCCCACCTCTTTGTGAGGTGACATCGGCTTGGCCGGGGGCATCAAGGACTTCGAGCCGGCCTTAGCCCATCCAGTCTCAAAGGACCAGATCATCCGCTTTGGTGGGAGGACGGATCCGCACTTGCCTTGGCCCGAGAAGCTGGCCAGCGAAGCCGATTCCGTCGAGAGAGTGGTCCAACGAACGATCCAGAAATCCTTGCAGAAGTACCTTGGAAAGGGAAAGAATGGAGCTGGAAGTGCCTTGGGCACCCTAAGCAGCGATGACCAGAGCAGCAGCCACCACAGCAGTGACAACAAATGAGCTGAATCGAGCTGAGGAGTTTTTCACGCCCTGCGTTTTGGCATGTTTTGGATGCCCTGTCAACAATCCCGGTATCCCCCGTCGACACCATGAAACAGCATCATGCAGCCATGCTTTCAGCCTGAACGGATTTGCGACACCATATAGAGCCATATACAATATACACCATAAACAGAGACACCACCATCAACAGCACCATACAGCCTTGCTTTCACATGAACATTGGATTTGCGACGGGGGCTCTGCGGCTTCGTGTGATGTGATTTAATCGGTGTGACCGGTGGGCTGTGTTGGAAACACCGCCAAGAGGAGCCATCGAAGTTTTTATTCGCGAATCACTGCCCTTTTCAGAGATGGCCAAACTCAATGGACAGCCCAACGCACACCATAATTAAGTGAGAGTTGCACTCACTCTCCGTGGGGTGCGGGTTGAGTTCGCTGCCCCGATGCAGCTGAGCTCCCGAAGTCTTTTTTGCGCCCCCGGCGCTGAGAAACACTCTACCGAGTTGACTCCGCCGTCAGGTTGACGCAAAGCCAAGCAAGGATAGCCGATGATATAACCGATGATCAACATACAAAATCCAGAGCAGCTGCATGGATGAGACAGTTGAGCTACAGCTATGCTGAGCTATCTTTCAAAGGCTTTGCAACGCCACCTGAGTGCTAGTAGCCCAGCTGGTTTTCTTGGAGGTGCTCAGCAAATCAAAGCCTCCAGAAAGCTGGTGAGGTTACAATATTTGGCAACGGGTCAAGCAAACAAAGGAGCCCAAATGGATCCAAATGGTGTCATGTTGTTTTTATATATCGTATATAGTATATATATATATATTGATAGCTGTTTTCTCTGGGTGTTGGAGTTTCTCTGGCTTGACTCAATGCCAAGTTTGAAGTGTCTCAACCCGTTCAGACTTTCGACCCTCACCGAAAGGTGATTTCTGGTCAAAACCTGGTACTCACAGTCTCCTGTAGTTGCTGAGGCTCGGATGTCCTTCTCACAGTCCCCCTAATCTGACACCATCGCAACTCGTGTTTTTTCTTTTTGCCTTCTTGTGCAATTTTTGGAGAGTCTGCAGATTTGGACATCCGGCGATACCAAGCGCTGGCTGTGCTCAGCTCTCTCTACTTTGCCGCTCAAGCGTGGCTGGCGGCCGGGACCATAGGTCTGTTTCAAGGGCCGCTATGTAGCTGGAGTAAAGATGAGCAAAGCCTCGGCGTTTAGTACATTTCAAGAGATCAACAGCCAGGCAGACCGCATGAGGCTGTCGCTTGGCAATACATGGGCATTATTATCGCGCGTGAATTTTGGAACGAAGGAGACTTGTGTTGCAAGTGGCGTGGCCACCAGTGCAGGCTTCAAGTAAGCACCTTTGCCAGCCAGCGCTGCCCACGCTCCTATATACTATATACCACATGCCTACTTGATCCAAAAAGAACACTTGTAAGCATGCCAGCTTGACATGAGGGATTTCAGTAAAGCCTCTCGGACATTTTTTGATGACAATTTTGTAGGGGAAATCAGGAGGTTTCATCTCTGAGGACTCCGACGCGCCTCGTTCTCCCGGGCCCTTGCTCCCTCCTTTGTTGTCTATGTGTCTACGTTGGTGTTTGTCTCTTGTACCTGCCTGCCTGTTTGTCCGTCCGTCCAGCCGGATGGTCAAAGCTCTGGTGTGTTCAAGCTGGGAGTGGAAATGGATGAGAAAGGATGGACATGGATGGGACCAAAGCGAAGCCTGTTCTTTCTTCAACTTGTTGAGACAGCACAGGACCTCCTGCGCATCCCGGTTCTTCGACAACAAGCTGATCGAATGAGCGGTGCTCCCCAGGAATGAAGTGTCATCAGAAGGACCCAGGGATGGCAGTGGCAGGCAGGGACCTCCAGGTTCTCTCAGACGGCTGGGCCCGAGGCTTCCTGGCCCACCATGGATTTACAGCAGTAATAGCCTGAATCCCGAGCAACCAAGGATTTTACACTACAAAACCAGGTCAAACCGAACTCTTTCAATGGTCCAACGGAAGGCTATGGACCTGTGGTCCATTCGAAGGCACCACCTTCCAACCTTGGGGAAGGTCGGGGATCGGGATGGATTGGGCTTTCGGTGGGATGCGCGGATCAGGTTGAAGACGTGGCTGTGGAATGCGATCAAAACCAGACCTTGCTTGAACTACCAGCCAGGTCAACCTACCAGCGAGCTGGGAGCGAACGACAAACCCATGATGAGACATGTTTTCATCCAGGATACCGGACTCTAGGACGAAAGAAATCCAGTGTCTGGTAGTTTCATGCGCCCAGCGAGCTCCTTTTTTTCGCCGAGGTGGCGCTTCCAGAGCTCGAAACCTGCTGACGGAGCCAGATCCGTCAGGCAGCTTCTCAGACTGCTTACGCCGACTGAAGTCGCTGACGTCATGTGAATCGTTCACACGAGGTCGTCAGACCTGATATGACCTGATTCTATGGTGCGATTGCCATCGACGACATATCAGCGTCTCCATTCAGCGTCTTCAGCGTCTTCGACCCTTTTGGGTCACGTCAGCAGGTGCGGCCGTGACGGGCTTGGTGGTGATGTCTCAACCGGGAGCCAATCAAGCAACTGTGTGGCAGCTCAGCATGTGGTGGGGGGAAGCTGGACTGCATCGATGTGTTGCTGTTGTTGTTGCTGTTGTCGTCGTCCACTGTGACGGGTCCAAAAAGGGGAGGAGCCAAGCTATTGCATAAAAGATGTGGTGCTCGTTGTGCTCATCTTTTGTGCAGACCGGCTCCCTAAGCTGCTCAACTGCCAGGTTCTTGGGAATTGACTTCATCACCCGCAAAACCATGCTAAACCCACTAATTGACCATCGCTAACCCAACCGTTGGCTGAAGAAAAAGGCCCTCGAGATCCACAATTACATGTGCCAGAGTTCCATTCATCTCCGCATGAGGCTCAGAAGCACGTGCGGCGCAGCTGCCATGTTAACGTCTAAAACGCGCAGCATCACACCATGTCGACGGCCGAGCTGTCAGGGTCTTTCGGGACCTGCAGAACAACTGGCAGGAGGGGTGTGCGGTGACGCCTGTGTGGGAAAGCGTGCGCCAAGAAGCTGGCGCAATGAAGATTAATCCTAACTGGAAAATACTGGAGATATTATTAATCTTTGAATTGCTTGTGCTAAGTGAAGCATTGCATGCGGGAGTGAGATGCACCTTTGGATGCATTCTTAGCATACGTCGTGAGCTACTGTGGCAGGCGCATGATGCTTACGCTCGGGCATGCCTAGCTTTGGGTGGCCTACCCAGAGTGGCGATCTGGTACACCCTCCGAAATCCCTCCATCACATGGATGAAAGTTGCGTGAACATCTAAACAGCTCGTCCTTTTTTCTTCATAACCCGTCATGTTTGTTTCTTGGCATTTGATTCGGGACATGAAGTCATAATACGAGATGTCACACATTATTTTTGCTTGTGGATTCCTGCACTTGCGTGGGATGGTTTCGCCTTTTTGTTGCAAGGCACCTACAAGCTGACCCATGCGTTGGCTTACTACACTGTCGGCCTGGGCCTTGAGCAGTGGGAACTATATAACTGTGGGGAGACTTCGCAAGAACTGCCCTGATAGCAAAGACATGCAAAGACATGTCTTCATCGTTTTGACCGAAACCCATTTGGCTGCAATGTTGCTGACTGAAGCCCTGCATCGTTGGGGGTAGAGAAAAGAACATGTTTGCACCATGCTCGATTCCGCTAGATTTAGATCGCTGGTTCGCTCAGGCTTTGCATAGAGTAGGAACATGCCAAAGCGATGCGTGAGGAGTGGACTTCCAGTGCTGGCACTGCTGGCTTGTTGGATGCATGTCCAACGTCCGGACATTGGGCTGAGCCTTGTGGCACAGGGCCCTGCCGCATGGCGCGTGGCCCTGCATGGCGCGACGAGTGAACGGAGCCGCAAGCTACAGACTGCAAGGAGGTCCTGCTCAAGTACATCTCACAGAGTCGAGCAGATCATTGACGTTGACGAGGCAACTAGGGCTGAGAAGGTCTTGTTGGTTCAGATTGTGAAGCAGAATGCGGTCCCAGGCATTCTGGAAGGTTTTAACATGAATCTTGGCGATTGGAAGGGCCGGGCTGGCTTTTGTGGCACACATGTGCACTGGGGCACCCTTCTCTACACGGAGAGTGCCAAGATAGTTCGGATCGATCTAGTGTCAAACATCGTAAACTTCCAAGCGGATGCACGTATGAAGATGCACGAAGGATTGGAAGCCAATTTGAATTGGAAGCAAGTCGGCCCCCAGGCTTGGGTCACTCGTGATGTAACAGTGGATGACCTGTGGAAGTCTGCACGGCCTCAAGAGCAGTACATCTTCTGCGGCCCAATGAGCAACAACTGCCAAGATGTGGCCAATCGTGTTTTTGCACATGCGACAGGCACACCCTTTGAGAGAAACTATGACCCGGAGAAGTGGTTTGTCGCGTCGATGCGGACATTCAGTTCGTTCAGTCGATTCCAGGCACCAAACATCGGAATCTAGTTTCCACACCATGATCTGTGCACATCGCAACAGAACGCCCCCAGTAAGAGATTGGGGGGGATTGTCTTCTTCTCAACAATAGTATATATATATATATAAATAATGGATCTCTGACTTTACACGGAAATTATGTGAAAGAATCAAAAGGCAAGTGAAATGAGCTGAAAGGGGCATGAAAAGACTTTGCTGTATTTTTGTGAAACCACAACATGGTGCAGTGAAACAGTAGCTGTGTCAATTGGTGGTTGTGGTTTATACTTCGTCCTTGTACCATTTTGGCTCAAGGATGAAGGCGCCGGTTCCCTTTGGTCATTTGAAGATCAGCGTTGTCTGAGATCCACAGGTGGAGATTAGCGTTGTCTGAGATCCACAGGTGGAGATCAGCGTTGGCTGAAGGGCCCGGCTTGTCGCCTTCGTTGACTGGTCCAGGTGATTTTCCGGGTTTGGTCCATGGCAAGACAGCTCCTGCCTACAGACGTTGAGTTGGCTGGCCTGCGCACGATTGATGATGTTCGGGATTGGGTAGGCTTGGCCGAGGTTCCCTGGCTGGCGATGTCAAATTGTTTGGGCGGAGTCGACAATCTCCGTGTCCTGGCGTCTTTGCCGGCCGCGACTTTGCAACCTGCCTTTGAGCGAGCGCGAATTCCAGCCACAGCCACGCTGCCAGAGCGGGTTCTTACGGCTGTGGAGATCATTCAGATTGGGTTGGTGTGGCGCATCTCGAGACAAGCCTATGCCTTACCTGACATTGATCCTCTACTGCCAGACCCTGCAACTGGCCCAAGGGCTGCAGCAGCAGCTTCAGCTTCGCCGGCTTCGATTCATACGACTGGCTCTCCAACCAAGCGTGTCAAGATGTCCGCTGCAGTCGACCAACTTGATGAGTCAGAAGTGGATTTGTTGGACGGCAGTGAGATTGAGCAGTCGTACAGAAATTTCAGGAAGGCAGTTGGAGCTGACCCTTTGGTTGATGCAGACCCCACAGTTGAGCAGATTACGGCCATGCATACAAAGGTGTTGAAACGGCATGAAGCCCCATACGCTGACTTTTCTGTTCTTACACCTTTTGGCCGCAGGACGCAAAAGCAAGCCAAGGCAAGGAATTTCGTTCTGCAGCAGGATGGTACTTGGAAGACAGTGGAGACTTGCGGAGATTCCTGGCCCTCCAACCTTCTTAGCGTGGAGTGCCTGTTGGAAGATCTACAGAACTGTTCTTCTCATGTTGAAGCACCCTGCAAATGCTACCACAAGGACACCTGCAACACCCATTGTTACGGTTGCTGCATTGGAGGAATACTACAATCGTATTGTGGAGCTGAACAACGAATTTCCAGAGGCCTGGCAGTTGATTTTGCAAGCTGAGGATCAGTGCAGGGGAGAGCAATTTGAGAGATTCCAACGGGAGCTGGTTAGGGCGAAGAATGAATTTGGATTTCGACCAGGCCAGACCTTGGGTTGGTGTCTTTCAATATGCAGCACGATGCCAAGAGTACTGGGACAGAGTCGTGATACGCCCCGCACAGACGTTTCTAGCCCGCGGAGGTGCGAGCAAGTCCATGACTAAGAAGGATGCTGAGGACACGAGTATTCTGAAGCTACTTTGCAAGCATTGCATCGACCTTGAGGTGAAGGGCAATCCAAGGCAGCACGTCGCAGGCAGAGGGACAAGATGAAGATCCAGCAGCTCCAGGCTGACCCTGGAGCAGCGAGGCTCGCCGATGCTCCATGGAGGAAGGGAGGCGCAGGTGGTTCGCAACCCAGCCAAGCGGACAACACACATCCTAGGCGGGCAGGGCGGGAGTTCCAGACAGATCGTGATGGTCGTCAAGTGTGTTTTGCATTCGCCACGGGAGCTGTTGGTGCTTGTTCGGAGTCATGGTGTCAGGGAAGATCGCATTGCTGTCAGTACTGTCTTGGGCCTCATCCCAATGCTCAGTGCCCGAAGGCCAGTGAGAAGGGTGCTGGGAAAGGGAAGGGGAAAGGCAGAGGTAAGTGACAGGAGGAGAAGCTCGTGGCCGTGACAGAGATGGCAGAGCTGCGAGCTAGTGCATGTGAGAATTTACAGACAGCGCAAGCAGAATTAGTGGTTATGTCGAGAAGATTCGGCCGTTTCATTTTGGCGAATTCTTTGCTGGATATGCTGGTTTCTCAGCAACAATGGAGGAGCTTGGAGGTGAGGCTGTTAAGGTGTCTCGTCCCTTAGATGGCTATGAGGGATGGGATATTATTTTGACAGATGAAGGGCTCTGAAGACTCTGCTCTTCTGGAGTTATGGTGCGCCTATATGCAGAACTATGACGGAACATGGTTCTCGGGGTCCTTCAGCAAGGTATTGGAGCAGTGTGCGTTGATTGGATGGCAGATTCACTCACCTCCCTGGTTTCAGGACCATGACCAAATCAGATGGAACCTGATCGACATTCCACAGTCATTGCTCAAACAACTGCTACTTGACGGATGGCATCAGCACATTGGCCAGCTTCTGGCCCGACGCAAAGACTTTGCAGGACAACAGGGGCTTCATTGGAGGTTGTCCAAAGAGGAAACGTCGCTCACTGCCCTGCAGACAGCTCAACTGCATGCACTACGAGACGGTTCCTTTATGACGCGGGACTATCTGGGCAGATTTGACTTGCAGCGAGGCTTTCAATGTCAATTTTGCCCTGCCATGGACTCCATGCAGCACCGATGCTAGGAATGTCCCACCCATGCTGATCTTCGTGCTCTTCATGGGGCGGCTATAGAGATTTTTCGTACCTCTTCTCGCAACTTGGCTGAACATTTAATGCCCAGTCGCTTGATGACTTGGCCGGCTGCTAAACGTGCTCTCATGGACCTGCCAGACACCAGCCGACTTCTTTGTTGAGGCTGACCAGCATGAGCACTATGATCTCTTCTCCGATGGCACGAGTGACCTGCCACGAGATCCTGAGCAATGTTTCGGAGCCTGGAGTGTTGTTTCAGCTACACATGGAGGAGTGGTGAGCTCAGGTGTTTTGGTTGGGCTACAGCAATCCAACAACAGGGCAGAGCTCACTGCTGCATGGTCAGCGGTGCAATGGACGCTACTCCATCGAGTACATGTAACTCTGTGGACAGACAGCTCGATGGTAGCCTCAGGTTTCCAACGCATGTGGGTCGACTTCACCGACGTGCCTTCAGAAGAGCATGAGGACCTTTGGCTTCTCATTGCGGGAGGCCTTGCTCAGCTACCAGCTCAGACCTTCCGGGTATGCCATGTTGCCTCTCACGCTGACCCTGAGCAGGCCAGTTCTGAGGTTGATGCCTGGCTTGCACACTGGAACAATGTGGCTGATGTTCAGGCCAGGCGTGCACAGAGTCATCGGCCAGATACTTTCAAGCTGGTTTGGCGACGCTACCAACAAGAGCTTTTGGAAACTCGGCGACAGTTAGCCTTGCTTCGTGGCTTTCATCTCGCTCTAGCTGAAGACCGGCGCCGATGTGCGCAAGTCATGTCCTCGGATGAGGTTACCGAGGATCAAGCGGTTCGAGAACTGAGTGCTTCTGAGCGTAGGCCGGCGATCCAGTTCCTTGGCTCGATGGCCTCCCCATCACTTGGGCGGCCGAGTGGAGTCGCAAGAATTCGTTTGATTTTGGAGAGACGTTTTCTGCGCAGTGCATCATGTGGTTGCTCTCCCAACAAGCGGCAGCAGAAGAGTTTTTTGAAATCTCTTGGTTTGAGCTGGCCGCAGCTTTTTACTGTTGTGGTTTTTGTCACCCACACCTGTCCACCCATGCCAATCAATGGATTGAAGTTCTTGAGGGTCGTTTTTCGGAATCTAGCCTTACTGTTGCTCTTAGGATTCGTTACGCTAGGTCGCTTGTGCGTTTTTTAGCCCGACACTTCAGTTTGTCGGTGGTCTTTGTGAGTGGGATTGATTTACGTCGACTGAATGTGAACTATCCCTTGAGTGGCTTGGTGCTCGGACTTACTGATTCCACTTTGAGGCAAGTGGATCAGCTCCTTTTAGCTTTTACTGCCCGCCGGACTGTACGTACAG